TAATATTATACCTAAATTTGTATAACCTCACATGATTCAATGCAACATTTTCCTCGCATGATTTCCCATGCATCAATGTTTGTACATGAATCAAGGCGATATCACAATGGTTGAGTAAGAGATTGACAAAACATATGAGTGTGTTGTCCATAGGTCTAAGAGAAGCTAGTGTAAAAAGTATATATATGTTTTGGACTACGTGATCGCCTAGATAAAGTTTCTTCTCTTATGGACGAAGTGAAACAGTTTGGTTCTCCTGCAACTTTTACGAATCGGGTAACTGAACTTGAGAAACTGATTGAAGAGAAGAATCAAAATGCTCATTAGACGGGACTTAAGTTAGAGACTTCATCTTCTATAGCTCAGGGTGTTAGGTCAAAACTTGAAGAGAAATGGATTGGCCAAACTAAGGCTCTGAAGGTTTTCTTAGGGGAACAAGCCACCTTGTGCAACCAAATGTGAGGCCTTTTCGAAGATGAGCTGAAAAAAGTTGTCTTTCAGAACATCTTTTCCCAGATGAAGTCTATGCTGAATAGTCTCTGGGTTTTCCATGACTCTTTCTCTCTTTTATGAGCATGACTTTTTTCTGTAACTATCTATTTAATTTATCAAACAATATTTACCACATTTAACTTCATTATAATTAACTTTGTTGTATTTGTACGCTGTATTTAGTGCTTTTGGACACGGTAGTTACACTACAACAAATAACACGTTTTTCATGACAAAGCTTTCACCTCAAGCAATAGAAAATCGAGGTGAAAGAACAATTAAGAACAAGCTTCGATTCTCAGCTATCGCAGTTTATGATTTTATTTGCTTATAAGTAAGTGTAAACAAAATGTTATAACCCTTCGGTTTTCTATTTAACCGAGGTATAAAATGATAACATTTTATTATAAAAACACTCGTTAAACAGATTTTTATCCTAATCCTTACTTATATGAGGCCGCCTCAAACTTGCAAGTATCATTCTTTGGGATGGATTGCAAGATAGAAAAAATCTTCAATGTTCTTCTATCTTGAACAAAACATTTTTCTGTCATTGCAATCTATCTCACATAATGGTGTTGATGTTGTCGTTGTTCTATTTTTTGGAATAATCCTCAATTAAAGAAGGGTACTCAGTTGATAAATTGCAAGTGCAGAAAAAATTTCTTGCTTCAAGTTACCCAAATAAAAGAGTTTAACCAACAATGAGGTGAGCTCAACCTTTGCAAAGAGCTTAATTAATAGATTGCATGTTCAGAAAATCATTCTTACTTCAAGTTAAACAAAGAATGAAACTTAACCAACAAAGAAGGAAACTAGCTCAACCTTTGAAGAATACTCAGTTGATAGATTGCAAGTGCAGAAAATCATTCTTGCTTAAAAAAAATTGTTTTAGTGGGTATGCAACAAACTTTGGATATACCGAAGATTTGTTGTAAATTTTTTTTTAATATTCTATGTCAATAATGTATTTAAAAAAAACAAGAAATAGTCACCTCGATTTTCTTTTTCACTGAGGTGATAGTTAATATAAAACATCAGTTTTATAGTAAAATTGAAGTGGTTAGTAAGCATATTTTACTTTTAAAACACATTAAACAGATTAAACCCTAATACTAAATTATATGAAGCCTCCCCAAAGAGAGGAAATATTCACCATCATCCATTTCTATCATGAGTTGCTACTGCAGATTTTACAATGTACATTAAATATTATGTATAAAGAATGTAATTAAAAAAAATAGCTTACCCACCTCGGTTTTCTTCTTGGCCAAGGGGATGGTTAAACATTTTTTTTACTATTCGTCCTTAAACAAATATTTGTCGTCCATTTAATGTTTATCAACGCTCAATAATCTGTCATTATTTATCCGCGTGAAGCACCCTAATAGACATCCGTTATTAAAGCATGTTGAATATTGAAAATCTAACCTAAATGAAACATGAAGCCCTTGAAACATATAGATGTTTGAAAAAGTTCTCTAAGATGGATTGCAAGAGCAGAAAATTACTTGGGTTTAAGGTTTGTTTTCTTAAATATTTATTTGAGCATAAAATTATATATTTAAATATTGATTTTATTTATCTAACCCTCATTTTGTTTTGCTTCAGAATCAAATGCACGCAAGATCCTAAGAGACAAAACTTGCACCCAACATTTGATCAGATTCAATAATTTAAAGATCTAAAATCTAGATTTTTAGGGAATTTAATTTTTATATTGTTCTTTAGGGAATTCAAATTTTATTTTAAACAATATAATATTCTGGGTAAACAATGTAATATTATGGGTAAACAATGTAATATTCTGGGTAATATTTTGTGTAAACAATGTAACAATTAAAAAAAAGAAATTATCTAACCCCTCGATTTTTAAGATAAACCGAGAATTGAAAATAATAAAAGTGTTGTTGCTAGGGTTCGAACCCATGTGCATTTAACTTTACCTCTCAGTTTTAATAACTCTGAGGTGATAAGTTGCGAGTTATCATGTCGCTGTCCATTACCTCGCTTCTATAGCTGAGGTATTATGCATTTCTCTCCCGAAGTAACAATCGTTTTTTTGTAGTAGTGTTAGAGTTTCAATCTATAATGACCAACGGTGGGACTTGGAACCAGCAAGATGTGGTCATATTTTTGGACTACGCTACACGTCATAGAGTTTCGTTCCACGACCAAGGGTAGGATCTGTGGAACCTTGTTTTGTAGGTGATACGCTTTTAACAAGGACAACAACTAATAGTGTCAACTAATGTCTTCTAACAAGTCAAGTATAAGTGATTAAACAGATAAAGATGTAAACCAAAGTACTAAGGTTTGATGGACTTAACTATCCTATAATAGCAACCAAAAGGAATATAAGTCCAAGCCTCATCTCAAGTGAATTCAAGAAAGTGTCTACAAAAGAAAGCATTTGAAAAAGTCTTAAAGTACAAGAAATCACTACCTTAATTAGTTTGAGTGAATTCTTTGTAAGGATAAAGGGTGTTGTCATAAAAGTTTATGACTAAAACACACACACACACACACACACACACACACACACACACACACACACACACACACACACACACACACACACACACACACACACACACACACACACACACACACACACACACACAAACATCTTTTTAAACTGATTTTTCTTAAGAAAATATCTTCAAAAATGTCTTCAAATTATGCCAAATGAATTAGGAGCATCAAAATTAGTGTGAGTAAATTTTTGTCTTTTCTAATCGATTTGATTCTTAACTTAATTGATTAGCTCAGTTCAAAATTTAGCTATAAGCGATTAGAACAACATCTTAATGTTATACAACAACTAGATATATTTTATTTCCTATTTTGAACTTGCAATCAATTATATTTGAAGTATCTAATTGATTGGCATTATGTGCTAATCTATTATATTGTCTTAGAAAACATTAAAATCAATTTTCTTTTTGAGGCAACCTCTCGCCTATATATAGAGGCCCCTTCTCTCATTTTAAATCATTCAAAATCATATTTTGACACTTCTCTCTCTCTCTCTCTCTCACACACACACACACACACACTCTCTCTCTCTAAAACTTTTATTTTACTTTATCTCAATAATATTTTAGTCAAAATACTTCAGCGAGAAAATTCTTTTGTGAGTAAGGATAAGTTGTAATGTTGGAAAGGTAGAATTGTAAAATTCACCAAGGGAATTTTTGTTGACACCTTATTTGAATATTATCCATTTAGGTATTGTTATAGTTAGAAGCTAAACTCGTAAAAACTTTTGGTTAAGGGAGTTGTGATCAAACCCTTGTTTAGGTACACGCTTAGCCTAGTATTAAAAACTTGATAGGTTCGAGATCAACATTGGTAAAATATCATAGTTCTTGGTTAACCCTTGGTAAAAACAAGGTTAGGTTAAGACTTAGACTGTGATAAAGGCTTGGGTAAGGTTCGAGATTAACCTAATATTAAAATCTCCCATGTTATTGGTTAGCCCGTGTAAAACCAAGTTTGGTTTAAGGTTTAAGGTTTGAAAATGTCTGATTAAACCCTTAAAATAATGAATTTAATTTTTGCGCATCTCAATAAATTATTTCTCTAACCCAAAATATTGGTACTCTAGTGTTTTTATAGAAAAGGGATGCAAATAATGATAAACGGTGGTGCAGAAAAGTGTAAACCCAGTACAAGGCCCAACATGCACAAAAGAGGTTGAATAACGAAAGCCCAATCTATTAACACCTTATGAAAAACAATTAGAAAAGCTTGGCGCTCAGATTTTCAAATCAATTCCAAGCCCAACTTATGTCTCAAGAAAATCAAATTCGATCATTAATGAATCTCTCTCTCTCTCTCTCTCTCTCTCTCTCTCTCTCTCTCTCTCTCTCTCTCTCTCTCTCTCTCTCTCTCTCTCTCTCTCTCTCTATCTCTCTCTCTCTCTCTCTCTCTCTCTCTCTCTCTCTCTCTCTCTCTCTCTCTCTCTCTCTCTCTCTCTCTCTCTCTCTCTCTCTCTCTCTCTCTCTCTCTCTCTCTCTCTCTCTCTCTCTCTCTCTCTCTCTCTCTCTCTCTCTCTATATCTTATATATATATATATATATATATATATATATTATATATATATATATATATATATATATAATACTTCTTTTAAATATAAGTCAAGACATCTTGCTTAGTGATTTGTCTATAAAATTAGCATTTTAATAACATGCATGTTTTGAATTTTATGGCGTGCCTTGAATTTGATGGTCAAGTGTTCTAATTTGAAAACGTGATGGAGAAACAAAACTGAAAACATTTGACTCGTGTTGCAAAAAGTTGTGTGCAGTATGATCTATTTTAATGGATATAGATGAAGTCAACAATGCATGTTAAGTAGGATCAATACATGATTCTTGTTCTTGATCAACAATATACATTCATGAGCATAACCATGACTAGTCGTTTTGTTAATACATAATACTAGCTTGCTGACCATTGTAGTTAATAGCTAAGCTGAGAGATTAATGTTTACAAGTAGCTTATGCAGCGGGAGCATAGTCATAACCACCGTCATCATCGTCATCTCCTTCCCTGTATGCAACTTGAGCTAATCCAGGTTTACAGTTCCCACTGCGATAATCTTTTTCATTAAAATTGCAAGCTGCAGATAATTCGCAGGCTTCACTGTTCGGGGCAATGGAAATTGATGATGTCATATTGTATTCTAAAATGGAGTGTCTTGAATTGAGAGATATAAAGAAGAAAATGGAATAAGTTATTGTTGTGATTTGAGATGGGATTAGAGAGTCGTTGGTGTTTATATAACAAGATGAAAAGTAATTGGAGTGGTTGTGGCACAAGAATGTCAAGCATGGAGTGTGTATATTTGCTTTATGCGGTGACGCTGTGAGCATCGCTCCTTGCTTGCATGTGTAATGCGATCTTGTGTTGCTGCCACTTTGCATATCTGCTTTACAATTCAGCGTACACGATGGAAAGTGCATACAGGAATCTCAACGTGAAATGTAGCTTGGAATCTTTGTTGCTCTCGTTTATTTTTGGAATCTCTTTTATAGTCTAAAAGTTAGTTGAGTATCATTAAACTCTACAAATAAATTTTTCATTTAAAACAAATAACTTATTTTAATGGCATATAATTCAACATGTTTCACTACTTGCTCAATGACTTTTTCCTCAAAATTAAAAGCAGTTTTAATATCTATAGAATAAAGTAGTCCAATAAAATTTACACCCTCCTATCATTAAATTTTTTTAATTCATTAAATAAAGAATTAAATAAAGAATGTATATAATCATTATTATATATCAGATACATTAATTATTCAATTAACTTAAATTTTTATTATTGATTATAATAGTGACTAGATGGTGTAGGTTAATACTAGATTCGTGGGAGGAGGGACCCATTATCATTCTTATTTTGTAAAAAAAATTGCATACTTTATTCTCAAGTTAGAGGTAACCAACAAATCTTTAGAAGGTCAATCTTTTTAGACATTACTTGCGATCAACTGCAAGTCTGCAATTAATCTTCCTCTACTCAGATATTCATTAATAATTGAAGGAAAAAGGCAAAGCAGTGATCCCTCACATGCACCTTTCTAAACTCAGCACTAGCTTCTATCAATACTAATACCACTTATATTCAATCTCAATGCTAGCACCACTTCTATTAGTTTTCATAACCTGAAACATTTCACTCAAAGCAACAAATTGCTCTTCGAGTAGACAAATGAACAACAAGTAGTTGTGAAATAAAAGGAGCGAAGTCTAAATACCAAAATTGAAACAAACACAATCAGAAAATGATTCCATGAGCATTAACACGGATAAAACCTAATTTTTGTTGGAAATTCAACCACAACCTATAGAGAATTTCACTCAATCAATATTGATCTCAAGATTGTTCCTACTCACGCAATGACAATGAAAAAAAAGTTTAGAAAGAAAGAAAGAAAACGTTGAAGAAGAAGAAGATGAACAATTTTCTGTAGAGAACTCTCTGCCCACAAACTGTGGAAATTTTGTTATTTCACTTGCAATTGCAAACTGTGAATTACAAAATATGATAAGATGAGATGAAATGTTTACAAAATAAGGGTTTCTCCTTATTTATAGATTTAGGTTAGCTTGCACCCCAAGGCAAAGGCCAAGCTATAAAAGCCCAACAATATCTAATCTAATCTTTATAAATCAAATATAATCTTTCTAAATCAAATCAAATCTTTCTAAAACAATGAATCGCATATTTAAGAACTCTCCAAATGGAAATCTGTTGGACTTTCAACTAGGGAGCATTGAACATAGTGAGACTTTTTCTAGAGCAACCTTTGTGAGAGACACACCACATACTCACCCAAAACCTTAAGGTGATAGGTGTGTGGGTTCTCTTATTTATAAATGCTCAAGTCACCACATTTCTATCCAATGTGGGACTATTATCCACCCTACTCACACTTGTTAATACTTTAACTTTAACACTCTCCCTCAAGTGTGAGTCTATCCACAATGCTCTCCCTTAAGCGAACTGTGCAACTGTGGGGATACTTTCGATACAAGTAATTCGTTCCCTTTATTCGAACCAAAGGCTCAAGATACCACTGTTGGACTTTCAACTAAGGAGCATTGAACATAGTGGGACTTTTTCTAGAGCAACCTTTGTGAGAGACACACCACATACTCACCCAAAACCTTAAGGTGATAGGTGTGTGGGTTCTCTTATTTATAAATGCTCAAGTCACCACATTTCTATCCAATGTGGGACTATTATCCACCCTACTCACACTTGTTAATACTTTAACTTTAACAAAATCAACATCTTTAGCGAAATCAAAAACATAAAACATGAATAAAAAAATACTTTCAGTGAGTATCTTTGAAACCCGTGAAATTTTTAAATGCATGTGAGGAATTTGAGAAGTCTGATAGACTTATTCGTATGGAAGTACACGAAGAAGAGCGGACATAATTTGTACATGATGCGTTCGAGAAAAATTGGATCTTGCGATTTTGAGATTTGAGAGAATAAGAACATTGATATTTAAAGGTTTGGTAATTTCATGAAAAATGGAATAAGATTTAAAATTTGAGGGAAACAGACAAAGGTTTACGATTCAAGGGAAGATAAAAGTGTGGTAGAAATTAAAAATTAGAGCTGCATGAATATAAAAAGGGTTAAATATGTTTTTGATCTTTATAAAATACCAAATTTTGTTTTTGGTCCATATAAAAAAATCATGTGTTTTGTTCCCTACAAAATAATTATGCACGTAGTTTTAATCCCTAATGTTAAACCAATGTGTATTTTTGAATTGTTATTTTGCATATATTATAACGTTATAAAAAATTCCTCGAAAAAAAAACTCAAAATTTGATTTATAAGTCGAGATTTTCATTACTTTTATCATTACCTTTTGAAATTTTAAAAATTCATATTTAATTCTTCTCATTTTAAAAAATTATATAATTAGGTAAATAAACATTTTATTATAATCTGAACACGTATAAAAAAAATAATTCAAAAATTTAAAAATTTAGGGGTAATTAAATAGTTTTCAAAATTTTAGAAAATATGAAGGGCTAAAACTGCATGCATAAAATTTTTGTAAGGACTAAAATATGTCATTTTCTTTATAAGGACTAAAAAATGAAATGTCAAATATTTATAGGGACCAAAAATATATTTAATTCATATAAAAAAATGGTATAGTGAAACACGCTAGCATAAGGGGAACAATTGTGAAAGTTGAGTGAGGTCGGTTCTTGAACCCTTGAGGGATTTAAAGTATGATTAATAACTTCCATAAAAAAAGGTATTGTTTATAGTATATCTTTAGTTAACTAAGAAATCAACGATAGTTGCCACTAACAGCCACGAAAACCGTCACAGGGAAGAAATTAGGACAATTTTTGGAAAAGTGTTACAACAAATGTGTCGTAAATATTATTTTTTTATAGTGTTACTCCTATTATATTTGTCCTTAATATTTGAAGTGAATTAAAAAGAAATATATGTCTACTTCTTATTTAAACATATTAATTCTTAAAATTTGTTTGTTAAATAATGCCTCAACCTAACAAACTGTTATCTACTCCTAATATTATCATAATTAAGAATAAATACATGATAGGAAATCACGAGAACTAAATATATCAAAACAACATATTCATTCTATTCAATTGATCTCAAGATGTGGTTTAGCTTCAAACTATTCAACAAATGTGGTTTAGCTCTCTTATTAAGCAAAGTAAATTCAACATTGTTGTAAATATGCCTTAAAATCTTTGCTGATGAATAGAAAGAAAACATATTTTGGAGATTGCACTTACCGTGAAAATCAGAAGTTTTAGAAAGTCGAAAGAAAAAAAAAATCATACGGATGAATAGTGACGTCTGTACGGTGACTAGTGTTTTCGAGTTTTCGGACTTTTTTTTATTCGATCCATGGATCTATGATTTTGGGCTTTATTTTTTTGGGTATTTGCTATTATAAATATGTATCTCTTATATGTTTGGTGTTCGACAATCTTAGAGTTTTCACCAACAAGGAAGACCAAGGGTTTAAAGGTATAACATAGGGTTTCAGCTATGCACAAAGAAAACTTGGATAGAAAATAGAGTTGGATAGCATATGGATTACACATTGAGTTTGAGTGATTCATATATTGAGAGTTGGAGAGGTAGGGAAACACTTGGGTAGAAAATAGAATTGTTCTTGGGCGCCTTCAGAGTTGTTCTTGGGAACCTGAATGCGAATTCTATTTTCTTGTAACTCATCTGTAAGCTCTTGTGACAACTTTCTGAGTATAGTGATTTGGAAAGTTGCTCTCTCCCCTAGGGTAGATCGTTTGATCGAACTGGATAATCAAACCTTCAGTTTTTTCTTGCCTTATTATGTTATATCATCTGTGTACATATAATTATTGCTGAAGACCATTTATCTTGGTTGTTTTTTTTCTTTGCCTCACAAATTGATATTGAATTTAGTCGTAATTCACAACAAGATTCACAACAAGTGGTGTTGTGAGCATGGAGTAAAGAAATATTGTTGACAAGTGAGCACCATGGTTAGTAGATGGCAGATCGAGAAATTTTTCGATAACAACGACTTCGGGTTGTGGAAAATTAAGATTCAAGCAATTTTTATTCAAGAGAAGTGTATCGATGCTTTGAAGAGTGAAGCATTGATGCCTGCAAGGCTTACACAGGTACAAAAGACCGAGATGGTGAGGACAAGGCTTTGCTCATGTTGAGTTCATTACCCATATCCTTTGAGCACTTTAAGGATGCCCTTCTTTATGGTAAGAAAGGTATTATTGCTTTGAATGAAGTCCAGACGGCGGTGAAATCCAAAGAATTTTCAAAGTCGAAAGATTTGAAGATTAAAGATAGCGGTGAAGGCTTAAATGTGTCAAGAGGATGAGGTGAGTGTAAATGGATGTCCAAATCAAAGAGGTCTGACAAGTCAAAGGTATAATGTTTTAATTGTCAGAAAATTGGTCACTTTAAAAGGGATTGTCCTGAAAGAAAGGTCAATGAAGACTTTGCTCAAGCTGTAGTTGCATTGGATGAGGAAAGTTATGAGGATGTCGAAGCACTGGTAGTATCGAGTTTGGAATTGAAGATAGTTGGGTCATTGATTCAGGTTGCTCTTGTCACATGTGTCCAAGAATAGAATACTTTGAAACTTTGAAG